GGAGCTGATAAGCGACCGACCCAATCTTTTTGATGATCAAATAAGGTCCATAGTATCGAACTGCTAACTTCTGGAATGGTCTGTGAGCCATCGATCGTTGTCAGTACGGTTGTAGTTTCAGGAACACCCATTCCCCTCCATTGAATGACACGTCCTTGCGATTTCTATCCGTCATCCTTTTCATTTTCTGTTGAGCTTGTGTGAGATGTCCCTTAAGATCATCAAGAATTGCATCTCTTTCCAGAAGTTGTTCTTCTACAGAGGATACAACTGTCTGTCCTTTTTGCATCCTAAGTATTTGGGGTGGATCTCGACCATATAAAGCCTTAAAGGGAGTGATCTTTCTGGACGTGTGATAAGCTGTATTATGCCAAAACTCCGCCCAATGTAACCATTTCGACCAAGACCGGGGCTTCCCTTGAATGAAGCAACGAAGGTAGAGTTCCACTGATTTGCTAACTATCTCCGATTGGCCAGCTATTTGCGGGTGGTAGGCGGTGCTCCTGAGCAAGTTGGTGCCCTGCAGTTTAAATAATTCGCGACAAAACAGACTCATAAAAACCTTGTCCCGGTCAGAAACAATGGACTTGGGAAACCCATGAAGCCTCACAACTTCCTTGATGAATATGGCTGCCACCGAAACCGCAGTGAACGGGTGTTTCAAGGCTATGAAGTGTGAATATTTGCTGAGTCGGTCCACCAACACGAGAATGGAATTGTACCCCTTCGAATTCGGAAGCCCTTCTATGAAGTCCATAGAAATGTCATCCCATACTTGATCTGGGACTAGAAGAGGTTGTAGAAGTCCAGCTGGGTGGGTGTTTAATGATTTCTATGTTTGACAAATTTGACATTCCCGCACATACTTTTGAACCGCTTTTCTCATTCCTACCCAGAACCATTCGAAGGCCAGCCTTTGATATGTTCTCAGTTCACCCGCGTGTCCCCCGATCACAGAATCATGGAATTCGTGTAACAGGCTCGGTATCAATGTGGAATTGTGGGGAATTACCAACCTACCCTTGTATAAAAGTCTATTATTCTCCACTGAATACCCGACATGGCTCTTGTTACCTTCAGTGATGTCTATCTTCACTTGTTGAATGAATGGATCATCCCCGATTTCTTCATTAAGCTTCTCCAAAGGTAAGGACCATGTTGAATGGAGCACCTGTAATTCTGGGTTAGAATCACTCCTTCGTGAGAGAGCGTCCGCTACCTTATTCGTGGGACCCGACTTGTAGTGAATTTCAAAATCAAACCCCATCAGCTTGTACATCCATTTATGGTACTTCGGGCCAACCTCCCTTTGCTCCATTAGAAACTTCAGACTTCGTTGATCAGTATTGATGATGAAGTGTCTTCCCATCAAATAGTGTCTCCATTTCCTTACCGCCAGGACTATAGCCATTAGTTCCTTCTCATAAATGAACTTGTGTCGGTTCCTCACTCCAAGGACTTGGCTGTAGTAGGCAATGGGATGTCCATCTTGTGTTAAGACGGCCCCAAGGCCAGTTCCAGAAGCATCCGTTTCCACACTAAAAACCTTAGAAAAGTTAGGTAGTGCGAGGATGGGCGTATTTGTGAGAGCATATTTCAGAGCCATAAAAGCCTCTGTGGCCTCCTTACTCCAACTGAAACAGTCCTTCCTCAGCTGGTCGGTCATTGGTGTTGCAATTCTCGTGTAGCCAGCTATAAACTTCCTGTAATACCCCGTGAGCCCTAAAAATCCTCTCAACTCCTTAACAGTTGTCGGAAGAGGCCAGGCCACCACAGCCTTAATTTTTTCATCATCTACCGCCACACTATGTTCTGACACCACATGACCCAGATAGGAGATCCTACATTTACCCAATTCACATTTGCTTGGATTGGCATACAATTCATGTTTGACAAGAATCTCCAACACTATTTCCAAATGCCTGACGTGTTGTTCTTCCGTTTGACTATAAATTAGAATGTCATCAAAGAAGACTAATACGAACCGCCGAAGGAAGGGCTTGAAGATCTCATTCATGACAGATTGGAACGTGGATGGGGAATTCGTCAAGCCGAACGGCATGACAGTAAACTCATAATGACCTTCGTGGGTCCTAAAGGCGGTTTTTGGCACATCCTCTTCCTTCATCCGAATTTGGTGGTACCCGGATTTTAAATCCAGTTTTGAAAAGATTCTTGACCCGTGTAATTCATCCAAAAGCTCGTCTATAACTGGGATTGGAAAGTTGTCTTTAACGGTGATCTTGTTAAGACTTCTATAATCCACACAAAATCTCCAAGACCCATCTTTTTTTTGACTAACAAAATCGGGCTCAAGAAGGGACTACGAGAAGGTTGTATGATTCCCGATTGGAGCATATCACGTAACAACCTTTCAATCTCCGTCTTTTGGGCGTAAGAATACCTGTAGGGCCTTACTGAAACCGGTCCGGCACCGGCCTTCAATTGGATAGCATGTTGTTGGTTCCGTGGTGGTGGAAGACCACCTTTCCAATTAAACACCTTAGCGAAATTCCAGACCAGATGGGATAGATACGGTGGAGCTGGTGGTACGTCTTGAGTCGGGGCCTGCATCTCCAGGTGGCTGTATTGGACCAAGTATCCTCCCCCAACTGCCCCAAGAGTTCTCACCATGGTTTTCAAGGAAATTCTAGCTCTTTCCAAGGAAGGATCCCCCCCGTAAGGTGACCCACTGCCCATTCACCTGAAACTTCATAATTTGAGTCTTCCAATTAGTAGTAACCGCTCCCAACTTCTCTAGCCATTGGATTCCTAAGATAACATCGGAATTTCCAAGAGTGAGAGGAAGGAAATCCTCCGTGATATCTAAGCCTTGCACCTATAGAAGAATCCCTTGGCACTTTCCTGTTCCTGAAACTGCCTTCCCTGTCCCCAAGGATACTCCAAACTCAGCGGTTGGTATGACAGGTATGTGGAGCTGGTTAATGGTTTGCAGAGAGAGAAAATTATGAGTTGCCCCTGGATCAATAAGGACCACCACTTCTGATTCTGCTATGGTTCCTTTGAGTTTGAGAGTTTTTGGTTTTGTTAACCCCATCACTGAATTGAGGCAGATGCCTGATAAGGTTGTGATTTCTTGGGGAGGAATTTCCATCTCTTCCGATTGAGGGTCCGTTTCCTCTCTCTTCTTCCTGCATGAGCAAGACACTAAACTCCTCCTTTTTGCATTGATGGCCCGGGTTCCATTTATCATCACATCGATAACACAACCCCTTCTCTTTTTTGTGTTGTAGTTCCTTATCTGTCAACCTTCTTACTTCCCCTGATACTCAATTGTTCACCGTCTGGCTCGCTAGGGTATAAATTGGAGGTGACACTATGCTGTTGGAGGAGTAGATGGTAGTTTTAATGGGATTAATCAAGGGTGTTCCTGATATGCTTCCAGTGGTGTTCGTTCGCTGTGTGACAGGGGAGGGATGTGGTTTGTGTTTTAGTTGGGATTGAAGCTTCTGTTCGGCCTTGATAGCCATCATCATGGCTTGTTCAACGGACATGGGGCTCAATAACTGGACCTCCGACCTAATTTCTTCATTTAGCCCATTGAGGAATTGGCCCAAAGTGATGTCTTCGGGTATGTTGCTTAGCGGGGCAAGTCGTTCAATAAATGCTCGCTGGTACTCTAAAACTGACCCGGTCTGAGTTAGGGCGAGCCATTGTTGCTGTAACGTACCTGCATTAGTCGGTCGAAACTGCCTCAATAACAGCGATTTCATCTCCATCCATCGCGTCACCGGTCGACGAGTGTGTTCCCACTGAAACCACAGAAGGGCGTCGCCTTCAAGGGCTACCACCGCTGCCTCCAGCTTATTCGCCTTTGATAGTCTGTAAAAGTTGAAGTATCGTTCAGTCCTCAAGATCCAGCCATCCTGATTTTCATCGTCAAACAAGGGCATATCCAGTTTCCTGAACCTCCAATTGGTTCCTCCACCGTACTCGCCTCCTTGTGACTGGCCTCCACCGTCGCTGCTTCCACCCGTACCTGAACCACCGCTCCCCGTAGGTTTGGATCCTCCACTGTTATCCTTCGGGGTTTCCATCGTGGAGATAACAGGTTCGTCGAACGATTCTCCTTCTTTCGACTTCTTTCCTCTACCGAGGGCCCTTAATACCTCTTCAAACTTCTGGTCCATCTTCATCTGTATTGAAGCGATAGAGTCAGCCTGTAGTTGGATCTAGTGTCCTTGATTCTCCATTATGTCGTTCAAATGCCCTAACTCTGCCTCTAAGGATTCAACCCTCTTGAGTTGGGCTCCTCCCACTTCTTTTCCTCCGGCCATGATCCTAGATGATTGCTCTGATACCAATTTGTTATGAACTCAACACACAAATTATCAATCTATCAATAAAACAATGGCAGCCTCTAAATGGTATTCCAGTTCATAACAAGAACAACGAGAAATGAGGAATTTAACAATAAGAAATAGCTATTCGAGATGCTATGGTCTCCTAAAAGAAAAAGAAACTTCTAATATTCTGCCTGCCTCTCACTGAGAGGGACTCTTCCTTAAAAAGACTCCATAACAGAGGATCTGTCTTATTTCCCAAATTACCCCTGCTGTCCCACCAACCTGGTACTGCCATCGTGGGTATTTCTGGTCCCCACATACGTGGGAATCTTTTTGTGTCTCCTTCTCTGATAGGTGAACTGCAATGGGGGGTGCACTACAGATCGATGGTAACTGGTCAATTAGTTGACATTGTAACAAAATTGTAAACTTAATAACTTTAATGCAATTTGGGAAAAATAGTTATCAACTGAGAAGAAAAAACCAATCATTTTGTTGATATTGCAACAACTTAATTGAAAAAAAAAATATGATGCCAAAATCAAAATTTCGGACTAATGAATTCTATTGAAGGCAAAAAAGAAAAAAAAAAAAAAGTTAAATAAAAATTAAAGAAAACGATACGATATAACAAAGTTAGCATGTACAAATATAATCATCCGCGTTCTTTTTCCTACTTTAGATAGTTGATGGGGTAAAAAGGCACAAAAGGCGGCTTAAAAAAGCAATTCGGAATGAAACCCGAGTGACGGGATGAGATTCTTCCCTCTAATAAAGACTTGACCGCAGACTCTTATTCCACACTTTTATCATATAAAACTTTTAGTATCAGAGCATCACAAACACAAGGTGACCCAAGAACAGAAAAGCGTTCTAATGGCGGATTACAAAAATGTTTCAAAATTGAACTCTATTGATCTTTCCTCCCCCCATATCCCTACCTCCGTATCTTTACTCAAACAGGTCTCTCTCTCTCTCTCTCTCTCTCTCTCTCTCTCTATGGGCTTCTGTTGTTTATGCAGGGGAAGTGAAAGAATTTGTGTTCTTTTTTTGTGTTTGTGTGTGTGTGTGTGTGTGTGTTTACACACTTGTATGTCAAGTGGTTTGTGCATCCAGAGGAGGCGTAGTTTGATTCTGGGTGATTATGGGTCTGCAATTTTGTTATGGATTATCGAAATACTTGTCAGTTCTATTGATTTATTCTACAATTAGATATGAAAATTGGGGATATAGCAAAACCAATGAAATGATCTGATTAACCTGGATGCTTCATGCTATAAATGATTGTTAAGGATTGCTAGAAAAACAAACCCATGATTCAAATGAAGATGGGAGTCATAAAATGCAAGAATCGGAATGAACTAAAGAAAAATGCAAGACCCTCCTTACTTTCTTCCAATTGTTTCTTCCAAGAATTGGGAAGAATCAATTAAAAGATGCCTTTTATTCCTTTATTCCATTGAATTTGTCGGGAATTGGCATTCAATTCCATTCCAATCCAGCTGGGTTGTTATTGAATTTCAAAAGACTACGAGTATTTTAATATATTTTTTTTCAAAATTTCATAGGCTTGCATAGATTCCGGTTTCTTCTACGTAACAAATCATGGAATCAGTGAGGAATTTCTGGATGAAGTTTTTGCGGAAAGCAAGAAGTTCTTCGAGCTTCCATTAGAGGAGAAAATGAAGCTTCTTAGGAATGAGAAACACCGAGGCTACACTCCTGTTCTTGACGAACTCCTTGATCCCGCCAATCAACTCCATGGTTTGTTCAAACTCAAGTAAAGTTTTATAACAATCCACCTGTTCTTTCTAACTTTCATCATAAAACTTTCCACAACTCATTTGCACAATAATCAAAACATCATAGGTGATCACAAGGAAGGATTTTATATTGGCATCGAGCTTCCTGAAGATGACCCTGAAGCCCAAAGAACATTTTATGGGCCAAATTTATGGCCTGATTCAGGTAATTCTAATCATTGTTGGAAAAATAACCCTTTTTGCATAAATATTCTAATTTGTGTTATTATTTTTTGGTTTTGACAGATATCTTGCCTGGATGGAGACAAACTATGGAAAAGTATCACCAACAGGCTTTGTAAGTTTTCTCAATCTTATTATACTCTACCAAATGTTATAAACATTAAATGTTATAAAGTTATAATCACATATAAACTGCTAATTTTTGTATTTTTTTAGGGAAGTAGTTAAAAAAATTGCAAGGCTCATTGCCCTTTCACTTGATTTAGATGCCGATTTTTTTGAAAAACCAGAAATGCTTGGAAAACCGATTGCAGTCTTACGCTTGCTGCATTATGGAGGTGAAAATTTTAAACATATAATAACACTAATTCAATTTTTTGATTTTTATAATTTCATTTTCAAATAAAATAAAAGAGCATTGGTTTAAATTGTAGGTCAAGTATCTGATCCTTCGAAGGGAATTTATGGAGCTGGTGCACATTCTGATTATGGTTTGATTACTCTCTTGGCAACCGATAGTGTTTCTGGACTCCAAGTATGCAAATAAGATATTTTAACAACAAATACACGTTTTTTTTTTTTTTTTTTTTTTCTTTCGAATAATTTTTATTTTTATTATTTGTTTTTAAAGATATGCAAGGACAAAGACGCGGAGCCTCGGGTGTGGGAATCTGTTGAACCGTTAAAAGGGTAAGTCGGTTGACACTTTACTGGACAGGACAAAACATGACAGACAGTCTTGTATTGTTGGTGGTGTGCATTGGACTGGGACTAGGACTGATGTCAGTGGTAGAGAAATGTATTTTTTGTCCAACCCAAAAGGTGGAAGAAGGTGGGACATGGACTCACTATCGATCTCTTGTCTGTGCAAAAGACGTGAATACCCTTCTCATTCTCATCATCAATGTCATTGGATCTTCAAATCACTCAATGGCTTTATGATAATCTTTTCAGAGCTTTTGTGGTAAATCTTGGTGATATGTTGGAACGATGGAGCAATTGTATTTTCAGGTATAATATTGTTTCATGTTGTGGTTTTGGATAGTTTGAGTCTTGAGATCAAATGGATTTTCTTTGAATTGTTAGATGAGGTTAAGTCTTTAAACTTTCAAAATTGGTTTAATATTATGATCTTGAAAAAAGATGCTACCTCAAGAGGAATAATGTTGAAATTGAAATGAAATCCGTATCTATTTTGACCTTTTGAGGGAATAGTTTTGACTCAAAAGTCTGACTGAAAAAGCTTGCGTCTTGACTTAGATAATGCAAAATATTCAACTTGAAACACGATTTCAATCAAGAATCTTTCACCTTGTTTCCTTATTGTATACTAGCTATGTAATATAGTAGTATAAGAATAGCTCCTAATGATCTTTTTTTTCAGTGGTTGACTTTTTGAACCATGGTACTTTGACTTTTTGGTGGAAGCTAATCCACATACTTGTGAAAATGCCCAAAAATACACTGTGGAATGCAAGAATGTGAGTAGCCAATCATTCTTGCAAATCTTTGTTCATGTGACATTTTCTCAAGAACAAAAAGCCGATCAAAATGGTTCAAAAAGTGGATCACATGAGCCTTCATTTCTTTAACTTTGGCTTAAATGAAGTTTATTTTTTCAGGTCAACATTGCATCGGGTGTTAGGCAATGGTCAAGAGCGATATTCTGTATAACTTTTTTTTTTCTCATTTTTTTTTTTTTAAATAAAGCAAATTAAATCATCATGCTTTTACTTTCTTTACAAAGTAACAATCCATTGTTAAATATTTGTATAAACAGATTCCATACTTTGTGGAGCCAAGTCATGATTGTGTTGTTGAATGCCTGCCTACCTGCCATTCAAAACAAAACCCTCCCAAGTAAGTATTTTAAAAACATTTTTATTTATTTATTTATTAAATGTTTATTGCTTTATTGTTATCATTTTTAACAATTTGATTTTACTAGGTTTCCTCCAATCAAATGTGAAACCTACCTTCTTCAACGATATCAGGACACTCATGCTGATCTTAGTACATATAACAAACCCTAATTTTGACTGCTTCTAGTGCTAATCAATGGGTTTGCTCTTGATTTGATGTTCTACATTATGGAATACAAGTTTCAGCATGTAGAAATTAACCAAGTTGTTGTGTCATTACTCATTGCTTATGAGAAAGGGTTATAGTAATAAATTCTACAATAAACAAGGGAAAAGGTGAAATCAAATCCATATGAGAAAAGCTCAACTTTCATTACATGATGTATGGGCACTATTACAAGATATAGTTACTTAACATATATACGCAATGATGATGATTGGATTTTTGTTGTTCTTTTTTGTTGTATTGATGAGCTGGTTGTTGAAACATGTGATTTTAATTGGGCCTTAGTACTTTGTTTTTGGCGACTTTGAGTGGTTTTCATCTTACTTTAGTATTTTTTTTATTTGTAGTGTTAGTATACACATTTGTAATCATGTCGTTTGGGTTTCTCTCTGTGTTCACGTAGCTAAATCCTATCAAAAGAATGTTATCGTAACAGACAACTTTAAGGAGGTAATTGAAGAGTGCAAACAACTCCCTCTTTAGATAGCACCAAGTGTGGACCATAATATTTAGTGGCTAAATTTTTGACTAATTTTATGTTATGCTCCACGGAAGTTTGTCTATATGGCTGCGATTTTTAAATAGACCCAATTACTCCCTCAAAAGGACAAACTATGTTGATTTGCAAGCGGCTTCATTTTATTTTGTGCTCTTTTTAAGTCATACTTGAAGATGTCTCTGAAATCTGTGGGCAGTTCTTTAGTGAAGATGTCAACATATTGTAGGCTTGAAGGGACGTGTAGGACACATATTTCCGGTAACAACTTTTTTTCTGACGAAGTGAATGCCAAATCTCAATGTGTTTTGTCCTTTGGTGTTGAAAGGTGAATTTGCACTAACACCACACCTACTTCTAAAACACCCATTTTATAATTCTTATTAAGCATTATAGTTTAAGTCTAAGTACTTAATCTAAGCACCTAGTTCGCTTAAACTTTACCAATTATGACAACCCTCACATGAGCTTTTTTAAAAGAGAAAGTGACAAATCGGGTTAATCCCACCTAACCATTTTCCAAAAGATCAAAAAATTCCAAAAATAGTCATGATTTTTGCATGTCACCACCAGACAAAATCTCATATTTTTCCAGATGGCCCTTTGCAAAAATCATGTATTTTTTTGCTAGCTTTGAATATGTATAACTTTTTCATATGAACTTTGTTTTGACCTAAATTATTTTCATTGTTTTCTTTGTAACAAGGGTTGTCCATAGACATATAACACTCCAATTTTTTAAGCTGGAAAGTCATACTTTTTTAGTTCCAAAGTAGGCTATTCGTGAAAAATATGAAAAATGACCCACTTTCATAATTGTTACATACAAACTTCACTTGAGATAATAAAAAAAACCTACAAACATCGGTCTTCTTTCACCTTTCGTGGCAATCATCCTCCTCCTTCACCGTCATACTGTAGTGCCGAACCTAATAATGCAAAAAGAAAAGTGAGGAAATCTTTAGTCCATGATGGTGTAGCCTACTTTGGAACTAAAAAAGTATGACGGTGGAGGATATTTATCGCATCAAAGAAAGTCTGGAGAATTTTAAAGTTCATTGTATGATTTCTCAACTAGTTGTCATTTGTGTTATTGTACCAAACAAAGTACACTTTCAAAACTTAGTTTTGTCTACCTCCTCGATACAAAATTGTTCCAATCAAGCAAATAAAAGTTCAATACATATACTTTTGTGGTCCATTTTGCAAAGGAGTTGTACTAATTAGCTTAATTTGTTGGGTAGTTTACATATCATAAACTGAATCTGGGCAAACAATATACGAAAGTTATTAAAGATAATGCTATCGTATCAAATTATAAATCATGTAAGCTTTAAGGATTTTATAACTCGGATTATACCAGGGATCAAGATTAGTGAACACTGACATTTTACCTCAACACTTGGGATTTAATTAACATCGGGTAATGGGAAAAAGTAAAGCGATTTCTAGTGGTATTCATCATAGCTTTATAATTTTAATTCATGATATTATTGTAATGAATGAAATATCACACCAATAGGCACGAGAGTTATCTTATATAAATACTAGAAAAATGATACAGTATACACCCCTCAAGTATACAATAAATCTAATAGTTTACATAAATATAAGCTAGGCTAATATCCCCTCTCAAGCAAGAGGCGGTGACCCAAGGCGCAACATGCAACGAAACTACTCAAACTGCGGTCGAGGAAGAATCTTGGTGAATATGTCAGAGACTTGAAGCTTGGTAGGAACAAACATGGTGACTAGTTTCCGGATGCAACTAGCTCGCGAACAAAATGATATTCAAGGTCAATGTGTTTAGCACGTTTGTGAGCGACTGGATTTTGAGTGAGAAATAATGCACTCTGATTATCACAAAGAAGTGTAGGACGACCGGCGGGCAAAGCATACAACTCTTGTAACAGATGAGTAATCCAAATAATTTCAGCTGCCGTGTTCGCCATGGCTCGATATTCAGACTCACAACTGGAGCGGGAAACTGTGGGCTGTTTCTTAGCACTCCATGATACAAGATTACCCCCCAGGAATATCGAGTACCCATAAGTAGAGCGTCGAGTTTCAAGACACCGGGCCCAATCGGCATCAGAATAACCAACAATGGCAACAGACCGAGGGCGTGTGAAGGTGAGGCCAAACAATAGAGTACCCTTGACATAGCGAATAAGGCGTTTGACCACCTGAAAATGAGCCTCGGTCAGAGCAGCAAGAAACTGTCTAAGTTGGTTAACCACATAGGAAATGTCGGGGCGAGTAATGGTCAAATACTGCAGAGCGCCAACCAACGAGCGGAAGAGGGTGGGATCGGAAAAGGCAGGACCGTCACGAACCCAAACGGTATTGGCAGCAAGAGGATTAGGCACCGGTTTGTCATGAAGAAGACCGGCACGTGAGACAATGTCATGAGCATACTTGGCCAAACATGCCACTAGAATGATGCACAGCTTCGAGGCCAAGAAAGTAATTTAGCCGCCCAAGATCTTTAATACGAAACTTAGCATGAAAACGAGAAATAAACGAGGATATGATAGCATCATCGGAGCCGGTGACAATCAAGTCATCAACATAGACCAACAAATAAATAATGCAGGAGTCTCGGCGAAACACAAATAGAGACGGATAGCACGGCTATAAGTAAAACCATGCTGAACTAAAAACGAACTGAGATGATGAAACCATGCACGCGGTGCCTGTTTTAGACCATAAATAGCTTTATTAAGTTTGCACACATAGTCGGGATGGCGAGCATCTGCAAAGCCCGGGGGTTGGTGCATGAACACCGTGTCATCCAAGGTGCCGTGAAGGAAGGCATTGTTCACATCGAGTTGGCGCAACCGCCAACCATTCACAACGGCAAGAGTGATAACAACACGAATGGTAGCCGTCTTGACCACCGGACTAAACGTATGAGAGAAATCAAGACCCGGAACTTGACTAAATCCTTGTGCAACAAGGCGAGCTTTGTGGCGCTCAACCGTCCCATCCGCACGATACTTGGTGCGAAACAACCACCGACAACCGACAATATTGGCATGAGACGGACTAGGAACGAGAGTCCACGTATTATTTTGATGAAGAGCCGCAACCTCATCATGCATGGCATCACGCCAATGAGAAATACACAAGGCATCCACATAAGACGAAGGCACCGGGGCAGAAAAAACCTGTGTAAACTTTACCAGAAAAAACCTGTGTTTCTGGGCTTGCCATTTTTAGCAATGTAATATTCTAGGTTAACCTTTGTAACCCGTTTTGAAATAATATAAGTGTATTATTTGAGTATTATGTGTTTTGTGCTTAATTGCTTAATTATGTTGTTTGATTAATTAAGAATAAAAACAAGCGTCAAAATTTAAGTGTAAAATAAACTTGATATCTTTAGATAATGTTGTAGTAATTGAAACAAGGTTTCCGAGGATATAAAGAATGTCGAAATCCGAGTTATAACGAAGAAGTTATGACCTGTCGAAGTTTCGCGACAGAACCGGCACGACACAGCGTGACGTAAAAAGTGAATTTACGTTAGAGCTATATTTAGCCTTAGCAATCTAAATGAAAGTCGTAGAATACATTAAACCATGAGCGCGCATAAAAAGAACGCCCAAATCTGACTTCGTATGAGGAAGTTATGATTTTTCGAAGTTTCGACTTAGCGGTATGCAGCCCGAATGCTCGATTTGAGACCAAACGGTTTTTATCCGAAACAATCTAAATGAGAATCGAAGGTCTCGTTAATAGGAGTAAAACGATAAAAAGATAGGCGAAAACGGACATCGGATAAAGAAGTTATGATTTTATAACGGAATTTTCCTATACCGGCCTACTAAAAATAAATAATACAAATAAAGTCAAAATGAGCCGACGGAGTCTAAACGAAAGTTGTAGATTGTAGTCTCACCTACGCGTGGATATAAAGAACGTCAAAAACAGAGTTTGTATGAGGAAGATATGAATTTTTGAAGTTTATTAAATATTTTCGATATTTAATTTAAACATATATTGGCCGATATTATCCATGGGGGAGTCAGCGACCTTATCGTCGTTACGCCCCGCGTAACCTAAATTACGCCCCGCGTAAATCGCAGATCCATCCCCTATAAAAGGAAGTCGAGTGCAGCCGATTCAGTTGCTCATTTCTTCCCGTTTTCTCGCGTTTTTGCATCGTTTTTCGTGCAAGAAATATCCCGAAGCCCCGGTATCAATCCCGAGCCCCGAAGCAAGTCCCGAGATCCCGAAGGTCCCAAGAAGTGCGGTTTCCGAGCCAAAGCTCTGCCCGCGAGAAGTTCGACTTTTGTAGAGATCTTCCAGATCTGCTGAGGATTACTACTTCTGCAAGTCGTAGTGCTGTCCGATCATCTTCTGATCAAGTAAGTGTGTAGTTAATTTCTTCTAACGCATAATTATGAAGTATTTTATACGAAATACGTGTTATGTGTATAATTTTGTTGTTATGTGCGTGAATGTATATTCACTCTCTTCAATCTCATATATCTGATTTGTTTTCTATAAAATACGTGTTATGTGGGTATGCCTCATCTGTTATGTAAATATGTATTGATGAAAATGCTATACAGGTTTTAAATTATGTATATAAATATATATTTTTATCTACTAATATGTTGGGTAGAACATGGGTAGATAGTTGGTGTGTAATAAACAGATGAGAGGCCTCGATGTTGTTGTTGTTGACCTAGTTATTCAACGGAGTATGGATAACGACCACAGACTCCTTCTAGACAGTCTCGTGGAACGCTAGCAGGTTCATAACCTGTAGGTGTTGTGAACGATGTGTTCACCGGTGTACTCTATCCCCCTCATGGTTGCCTTTAGGATATCTATTGTTGAGGAAACCCCTTAGCAGTAATGTCCGTCCCGATGAAAATCCTAGATTAGGTCCCTTGAGATAGATGTTGTTTTAGGGACGTAAAGTGAGGATAACGGGAATGGGTAATCGGGATAGTGATTGGTTGGTGAAATTAAATATAATTTATTTATTATGGGTTGAAAACCCTATATGCTCACTAGGGTCCCAAGCCTGACCCACTCAGTTTTATTTGTATTACAGGAAGTGGCGCAAGGGCGTAAG